GCCCTCAGGATAATAAGTGAAGCACCTATTTCCATATTTGAACGCTGACGACAGTATGTTAAAGGAAAATGGAAGGGGTCCTCCTTTGGTAAGTGGACTTCTGTATTCCTCTAAAATAAGATGATAAGAGTGTTGGAAATTATTTTTAGAAAGAGCTCATGTATGACCTGAAATACAGGAAAATTAGGAAAGACCAAGTATTAACTAAAATTTAAGTCAAAAACTGCATAACCTTTCATGTTAAGTTGTAAGAAATTAAAATATCGCAATTTAATTTAGCTGTAACTGAGCTTTTACAGGACAATTTGTAGAAGCCTTTACACTTCGTCCCACTCTGGAAGCAGATGAAGAAGTGAATGTCATAGACTGTTGGTAATTTGCAAACGCGGAAAAAAAGCCCATAGTTTATAACTGAAAATCTTATTATGAATCTTTGATCTTGTTCACTTTGCTTTTCAAAAAGTCTTTATTCATTTTAATTTCTCAAAATCATTGATACCGTGACACCAGGCCTTATTAGACGACAGCAATGTGATCTTATGCAACTATTTGTTTAACAATAACTTTTTAATCCATAGTAATGAAATAATTCATCGTGGTCCATCTTTTAAGAGATACTTACTCGTTACGCTTTCCTTTTCCTTCCCCTTCGACCTCAAGGTAATGTCCACTGACATTGCCCTTCATTTCAAATTCCATCCTCATGTCTTTTAGAACGACCTGAATAAGTAAAAGGAAAGAAACGATAATTTTCTAACGACATTAATATTTCAAAGACCTAGGTTGGTTTTAATTTCCAGTAGATTACTTGCTTACCATCTATCAATTTTTTGATTTCTGCTATTAAGATACAGCTTACACCATATCAAATAAACACAAAGCGCCTCACACCATTTGGCTATATATATCTAAATGTCCTACTCTTTGACCTTCTTTCAAAACATTTCCTTGCGCTGCAATATTTCATCGCATCAGAAACAAACACTGGACTAACTTTAGCTTCAAGGTGAGTTGGAAGCTTGAGGACATACAGAATGAATTAGATGAGCCATAACTAACACATGAAGACCGGTTAATTAGTATAGCGACACACTACGACGGCATTTTTCTGTCTGGGGTTTGTGGGGCATGTATCTGATGAAGCTCAGATTTCTCCACTTTTTAAATAATATTTCTTGGTAAAGGTATACATTTTTCCTTTGAAAATTTTGTTCTTCTCAAAGTA